GGGGGGGAGCTCCGAGCGGAGCGCGGGGGCGGCCCGGGGGTGCAGCTCCGCCGCCGGTGGTGCCCGAGCGCTCGCTCTGCGGCGGCGCTGCCGCGAAACTTCTCAGTGGAGTGCGACTGCCGCGGCTGTCCGGCCACCGACATTGCCTCTGCTGGGGCCGCGGAGTTGTCCGTAATTCTGAGGATCCACAGAACGCCCTCAGCTGCACTGCTCGTGGTTAATAAYTTCCCAGAAAGGCCCCTCACAGCATTTAGAAGATCCTGCGCGCACGTGGTTTTGCTTCCTTGACTTGGGGTTCTGTTGCAGACTCGCACCCCGGCAGGCCGAAGGGGAAAGCAGCGTGTGCATATCCCCTGAAGCGACCAGTGGCTGTTTCTTGTACTGTCACGGGTCATCCCTGGGGAGATGATTCCACCTTCTCCGATACCACCAATCTGGATGGGACTTTGAGCAACCTGACMTAGTGAAAGAAGTCCYTGCTCATGGCAGGGTKGGGTTRGACTAGATGATCTGTAAGGCCCCTTCCCACCCAAACTATTCTTAACATTCTATGAGCCAGTGTGGATTGTATGGGGTGATTAGAATGTTGGCTCCTCATGTTATAAAGGAGGAACTTTTGCAAAAGTTCGACATCACTGGGGTTTGGCAGAGGAGGGAAGTTCAGACGSGTGTCACTAGTGCAGGATGTGCAATATGCAATAGGTAACACCAGTAGTGTCTTCACTCTCCTTTCTCCAGCCAGATTGCCGTGGGCTGTCCTGCCCTCTAGTGCCTGCAGCTCCAGCTCCCTGTGTCCTCTCCCGGCTCCTGACTGCAAGCACACACCCAGGAGCTGCAGACCCCGTGCCCCTCGTGCCACCRTGGGTGCAGAGCTGGCCACCCTGCGGCCCTACCTGCCTGCCGGGGACAGCTGCTGCTGGGAACACTGACCCAACARGGAAACGGTGTTAATGCAATGTAGCACAGACGTACTTCTGTGAGCGGGACTGCCCCACATGAGGAATTGGCCTGTGAACAGACAACTACAAGTGGTGGCAAAGGCATGTTTTGTCAGTCATGTCTCATACTGTTTCCAATGGACTGTCAGGAAAGGAAGATTACAAAGAAAACCAAGACTGGATTTAGCATATTGCTCCAGCCCCTCACCTCCAGGACGGGCTCTGAGACAGGATGTTGAGGAGGATTTTGTGCTGGCAGAAATTCCCAGGGGCAGGTAACTCTTTGAACCTGATAAGCCTGAGGAACAGCTGTTTTTGCTCTATTACCTGCTGAGATGCCCATTCAAGGCTGTGAGGACAAGAAAGACTAACATGAGTGAAATGCAATTTATTTAATTGCTGTAGTAGCTACCTTTCAATATAGGGAAAAGAAGGAAATATTGTTCCAAGAACATTACCAAAGCATGTGCAAAGGTTATTACGATGMTCTCAACATCCTTCTCATGACTTTCTAGCACAGGGTGTGGGACAGCATTACTTTTCAACCATAAACCTCCCAGGTTTTTGATGGATTGGATTGTGTAAAAGGGGGCAGATTTTCCCTACCATTCATTGCACTAGTAACTTCTCTCTCAATTCTTACAGCCTGAAATCAGCAATTCAACATAYGGAAAACATGTTTTAATGCTCTGCTTTTGCATAGGTTCATCCTCCAGCATGGCTAGGGCACAATACCTTCAAACAGATAGGAATTAATTCTTCATTTCTAAGCCATTGGTCTCCATTTACTTGATGACTTGCCTGTTTGTTACTCAGTTTCCAAATCGTCTGTTTCTGCTTGATCTGATTCTTCTAACTGAGAATCAGAAGGCTGTTCATCAGCAACAGGTTGGCCAGTCTCTTCTTCCTCTGCCACTGGTTGGTCAGCAGCATCTGACTCACCAGACACCTGCAGAACTTCATCTGTTGGCTTGGGCTCTTCAGCAGGCTCCTCTGTCTGTTCAGGTGGAGGTGGACGACTAAATTCATCTAAGCGTTGTTCAACCACCGTACGAATCAAGGCTGAAAGMGAGAGAACCGCCATTAACAAACATGGAGGAATAACCCTATAATTTGAGATTCTTTKATATATTCCTGACCTGTAAATCCTTACATATGGAAAGAACCCTGAAGTAACTCTAAAAGTAAAGAAATACCTAAATGACAAAAAACCATTTCAGCTGCTGTAGCCAAATGATTGGTTAATATTCACAGCAGTGATTTGAAAGTGCACTTGGATATTTTAGTTGATTTCCTCACATTTGCTTCTTATTCCCAGAGTAGGTTACCCCACCATGACCAAGGATTAGTCAGGTTACACACAAGGTGATGTTTTGGACATTCCTCATTCAAATAGGTTAAAAATGAATCCTTAAAGACTTTCCCTGTGTTTCTGCATAAGAGGAGAAAGAAGCCACTACCTATCTTCTACAAAATTTGAGGAATGTGATTAGCAGTTACTTTGCCAGAGRTGGTATTTACTCATAATTGGATGACTGGATATAAGTCAGGAAATACAGATAGTAAATAGCAAAATGGGCTGCTGACATTATTTACTGGCCTGCTCCAGGTGCTCTGTATGTCTTAGGAGCAAGACAATGATATCTAGTTAAATCTGGTTAAGTAAAAACTTAAACAGGAATATGATACGTGTTCTCATCAATAGTGTATCCTGCAGCAACATTCTCCTTAGGATGTTTATTCAGTAGTCATATACAGTATTTTTTCTGAAAAGAAATTTCCCTTCATTCTGAAGAGCTACATGAAAAAGTGATCCTGAGTGTACATACTGGCACATATATCAGGATAAAATACCTAATAGACCACCTGTAATTGTCCAAATCATACTATACCTTAACAAATAAAATTCAGGGTCCTGGTTAAACTAAAAATAAACCCAAAGGAAGCAAACAYAATTGTAATACAAACCCAAAATCCCAGCAASAGGAAAACTATAGGAATAAAGATGTAATGCGAGTGTAAAAAGTGATTTGATCTAGAAACACACCACTGGGYACACATACACCATACTTTCATGTTTCTACACAAGACAAAGTCCAGATTATTCAGGTGTTTCAACTACAGCCTCTGTATTAATAAAAGAGCCCAAATATTTAGCTTGAACTAGCCCACAAGAAGATATTCCAGTCTATTTCAAAAGCAAGGACATAATCATTGACTGATAAGAAGGTGAGCCYTTGTTTTGACAAAAATATTGGTCATTTCACTTCTCAGTCAACTGTGGCCTGCCATCATCCTCCTTTCAGTAGGAGAATAATCCATAGCTCTGGGAGTTTACACAAGCGATTTAAGAGACTTTCATGGCATACATGTGGCAGTACACAAGATGAGCTTTTCTGTTCCCAATGGCACAATCAGGGACACTACAGAGAACACTACAGCAGTGGTGACTGTGTAACACAGAGGAAGTAGAAACTTTACAGCAGAAAAAACAAATWGTGTTCTTTAACCATTCTGTTCCTGATATGTGTGCTATATTTCCCAGCATTAACACATCTCAAATAGTACAAAGCCAGAAAAGAGTGGATAGTGCAGCATGTTTGACACTTCCATTGTTTCASCTGAAAATCAGTTACCTAGTTGTATGTAGGAGCAGATTTCCAGCATTGAAAAATGTTAATATAGTAAAAAAATGAAACAAACATATAAATAAACACAAACAAACAAAACCCCCAACACAAAAAGCCATGGGTACTTGGAGTTGTCCTAAAATGACACCTTCTACTTCAATCACCAGTGACCATATAAATGTGACATATGTTTTCACCAGCAAAAAAAAAACAATCAAGACCATCGGGCAGCCCAGACTACATTCCAGGATTTGGTAACTTACAGTCAAGCATCGTCCTTCCCAGAATCTTCCTCTGTAGTGTTTCTTCTACTTCTGACATCAGCCATGGAAGGAATTCTGTCTCAATAGCTGTAAGAATTTAGCAGGAAGAAGCAAAAGGAAAATGTCACTTTATAAAGAATGACCAACAGAACTTGGTGGCTGTTTTYATTTGCTATGACAATTAAGGGATGAACCTCCTGTGCCAAAAGGCACTTGCTCTATAAGAGTCAGATGAAATSTCTCAGATGTTGTTTGGTTTCTTATCTCCAACCTTTCTTACAGAGGTTCATCATCATTATAAGTCAGAGCAGAGTCCTCTCAACTGCAGTTATTTTCAGAGAGGTCTGGCACCCTGAAAGGGCCTAGCACAGATGAGATACACAGTCATGTTCTAGTGAGATCCAAATAACTATCTTGAACAAGTCAGGAGAATAACATTTCCTGCCTTGCTTTCCAAAGACATCTGGCTTCTGGTCTGCTGAAAGCATTTGCTCTCTCTAAAGAGCTCGTGCTTACCCATGTATTTCTCAAATGATACCATTTGTGGTCCTGTCCTGSTTGCAAAACACATGCAGTTTCTGCATTAACCCCATGATTTAGCCTGGAGAGAGTGTAACCATTCCCAAGCTGTGGTCCATGCCCATGTGGTGCCTGAGGAAGTGGGTACAGCAAAATCGACCATAAGAAATGCTGCTGATTCTAAGGGCTTGGAATTTACTGACATTCAACTCCCAAATTATTTTCTGGGCCTAATTCTAATTAACTCATTTCTCCCTTGCTCTGATAATCATTAAAATTTTCCAGAATGACATACTGATTTCTTTGTCCATTCTATCAAAATATATGACCTTCTATTTTGATCTCTCTCTCTGCTCTCCCAATCCTAGCCACCCATTTATTTCTCTCCAATTTCAAAGCAGCTCTTCTCATTGTCACAGTCTCAGCTCTTGCTTATTCTTGACTCTTTATTCAGATGACCAATAATGTTTGCTTGTCTTAAAACTATGAGTTCAGCCATAAATGCAAATTAATAAAGTCTTATGACATTATTGTAAATAATAGGACAATATGCTATGTTTCATGGTTGTTTTGAGCTTTATATTACTTAGCCCACATATTAAGAAAAAAACAAAACAAACCTCTTTCTACAGGGTCATAAAAGAATCCACTGTCATGAAGATTGTTGAAGACTGAGGGAATGAGATCAGCCAGGTAACGCTGAGCGAATGCCCGAGCTGCAATTTTCTCTGCAGTTTCTTTCTGTTTCCGCAGCTTTTCCAGGTGCTCRAGTCTGCGACGTTCCTGTCAAGGCAATTATGCATGTAAAACTTAGAGGCCTTTAGATGTGACTCCTTTAATCTAGACTTCGAAGAATTATCACAGTGTGTGTCTCATAAATAGAAAAGATAGTCAAAAGTACAGATAACCATGATCTCTATCTGGTATTTGCAGCCTCTTACTGAAACTCCTCATATCAAAGAGTGCTTGAAAGCAAGTTTRTACTTAATCTATGGGGTATTAAAATACCCCCAAATTACAGGGAAACACATTTCTGTAGTATTCCTTTTCTGATTTTGGCAAGTCTGTTCAAATGAAACCCTTCACTRATGCCTTAGTATACATTAATCTCATGACTTTTTTGCTTTATTATTGCAGATCAAGCTGGTTGTTAGCCTTGGAATGTGGATGAAGTTGGATAGGTATTTCTCGAATTATTCATCTTCCAATAYTATAGCTTATTTCATGTACAAAAAGATTAAAAATCAAATTGGTTCAGGAAACATTAGAAAACACAAGCTGATGAATAGTAAGTAATTAAAACTTGCTTTTTCTGTTTATTCCTATTTACTAAATATTACTAATATAGCAYAATTCTTGGCGACCTTGAGATGTATGTACATGTGCACACAAAGTAGTGCATGCATTGGGTGTGAAAGACTAGGAGGTGTCTCTCTTCCAAGTACTCTATTTGTTTAGTAGTCATTATAATGAAAAGGCTTAAGAAACAGCTAAACCAGGTACAGAAGAAAATGCTGTTGAGTTTGGCCTTTTGATCAGGCATCCAAGTATACCCGGTCACTMAAGCATGACTGCTCCAAATAAACACAACAGTGTGGTGCTGTTGTATGAGAGCAAGTGGCAGAGTGTMGTTTAATGTCACCAAAATGCTTTAAGGAATATCAAAGCTGATATGCCTTTTGGGCATAACCCAGCTTACATCACAGCTTGTCGTTCAGTACTGGAAATGTTTTTCTCTCTTCTAATGAACATTCAGACAGTACTGGTTTGCCCTTAGGAAATCCTACCTTCTCCTCTCTGATTCGCCTGTCCTGCTCTTCCAGGCGCTGCAATTCAGCAAACTCTGCGTTACGCAGCTCTGCAAAGGCACGCTGATGTGACCACAGCTGGGCCAGCTCTTCTTCCTCCATGACTTCTAGCAAAGCCTGCTCAACTGTTTTCCCAATCAACACTTCCAGGATCGGCTTAACTTCAATGTCAAAGTCAAACAACTGAAGGTGAGAGTCAGAGAAACAGGGGTAAATGTSCCTTGATCACAATTACTCTTAACAAGGATTGGCAAGGAGAAAAGGAGGATGAACAAAGTMCTTGCACTGAAGTCAGGCTGGGGGACTGGTGTCAGCTAAGGCAGAGAGAATYATGAGGCTGCTRGGGGTAAAGTGGTGAGCAGGCTRGAGTAAGACACCACATATCCTCCCACAGCCCCTGTGGGGATTGCCAGGGAGAAGCTGAGCACTCACCTGGACCCTGTTTCTATGTGCTCAGCCTCKTTTTGGGCTGGRCATGTTTTAYAGAAGAGGGCAYTTCTCAGCACTGTAGTTCTTAGCTGAAACCAGCAGAACCAGTGCCCATGGAGATACATCTTCCCTAATTTTGCACTTGTTAATTTCAAAGCAGACATTGGAGAGTTGGGTTTGGTTTTTTTTTTTTTTTTTTTCATGTTCTGGGAGGATTAGTTCCTTTCTGTTTCTACTTCAATTTTGCATTAGAAATGTGTTTTTTGTATGGGAGACATCTTTTGACAGCACTTGTGGACATGACTTCCTACCTCTCCTTCTTCTATTTGTGTTTCCACATCTTTGCCTGTTTTGGCTGGTATGAAGAGTGGAGTGGGTGGTCGGTCCAAAAAATCATCTGTTTGACACTCTTCATCAACCTCTATTACCAGGTCACTAATCTCTTCCAAATACAGTTCTAGAAATGAAAGCACAATGAATACTCAAATAAAATCTTTTTGTTTTAGTTCTCAAYTGTTTTTGATGACTCTACATTCTGAATTATATACAAAGACTGTAATAAAATGTTTTCTATAAAGCTTAAAAAAAGGTCTCTCAAAACATAGGTCAGTTTGCTGCATAGACCATCTGATGCGGTTTTCTCTGTAATGTCAGGTGCACTTCACGGAGGTGATTCCCAAAAGGATCGTTCACCTTAAGAAAAAGTTCTAAAACCCTCAATTGTAAGCATATATGAAATTTCTCTGATTATACTGAAAATCTAAAGAATCAATGAAGAAGTCTTGACTAGTGTTCAAGAATGTACACTGAAAAACAGAGCTTCTAGAAAAATGTCACGAATTAGACAAGTTTAGAACCACTGATTCTATGCATTCTATGATTTTAAACTTATCCCTGTGTGATTCTACCAACTTCATCACCAATTCAGCAAGTGAATATAAATCAGCAAGCTTTTGTTTTAAGACTGATACAAAAAAAAGCAGTCTTTTACCTGTCTGCACATAAGCATGTTCTCTGCCTTCCACAGGCTCTGGTGTTCCTGGTTGAATTTGCTCTTCTGAGAACCTACTGGCTGGTACTTTCTTCCATGTGCTCGTCTGCCTGCTAAACTCAGGGGTACTGGGCTCGTTACGCTGGGCAGGGGTGAAGAAGAAATAAAAACCCACAAAATAGAATACACTTTGTACTTGAAGACAACACTCAATTCCCTCTACAKAAATATGAAGGTTTCTGTTTGATTTTATTGCTAGCTATCTAATATTTTGTATTTACAAAAATAAAATTTCTGGGTCCTGACTCTAAATTTTTAGTTGACTTAAAGACTGTATGGCATGAAATTAATAAATTATGCTAGCTKACTAGAGGCACATAATAATAACATCTCACACTAAGAATAATTAATTAATTTGTTATTTGAAAGCAATTAATGCATTCAGAACTTTGCTTTGTGAGATAAAGTATATTAAAGTGGTATGTTTTTTCTGACAAGTAAGAGTTTTCAAATTTTGAGAGGTCAAATAGACTTCAGTCCAGTTACTATATTATGAACAGAATTKCTTGCTAGATAAAAATTATAGGCCCAACTATTGCTGATCAAACAAAAGAAACTCATAATAACTTTTAAATTCAGTACTGTGCTTATAGATTGAGATAAACACCCATTTTGACCTTCTTAAAAAAAACTTTCTTGAAATTCACTCYAAGAAATGGCTACTGAACAGCACAAAGCTATTTTCAAAAAGCAGCTTTTAAAAATACACAGTTGAAATTCATATATGATCAAATTATCTATGAAGAAATATTCTCTGAAAATAAAGTATCACATTTGGGTGGGACTGAACAACCTGGACCAGTGGAAGGTGTTAAAGATGATCTTTAACGTCCTCTTCAACCCAAATCATTCTAAGATGCTATGACTTACTATTGTATCAGGGTAGAGTAGTAACACAAACAGAATACTTTTCCATGCTCACAAACAGGTTTTGCATACAGCTGGACCATTTAGCTCTGCTTCTATGAATAAACCAAAATGTACCTCACGACTCAATTTCCCAAGAGCTGCAATTCTCCCTGATGACACCTTGCATGTGATAACAGATTATGCAGTAATGACTTATGCTTAAGATCATTACACTAAAGAAACAGAGAAGGAAAATAAAGAAATCAAGTACTTCATGGAGGGAAAAAATCAGAACTGCAGAAGTTCATATGAAAATAAGTGTTTTAAAGAAGAGCTGGAAACAGTCAGAGGCWAGTTTAACTGGAGAGCCTGTGACAACGTGAAATATTTTAAGTAAAAGTATAGCTTCGGAAATTAAAATTGTAAGTGAGGAACAGCCTTGCTGCCCAACCTATGATAGCCCCACAAAACTGGAGCATGATCCCATTTWAAAAACCCATACCTGCGGCAGGAAGCGAAGGGACAAAGCGTTTCCGCGCACCACCCTCGGGTCGATCATGATGTTGCCGTAGTGCATCGGGCCCCTCTCCCTGCGGCACAGCACAGACAGCGCTGGTTGCGGCTCCGCCCGCCGGCCACGGGCTCCGAGCCGCGCCGTGCGGCTTCCCCCCGGCCGGCGGAACAAAGGCAGGGCGGCGGGGGCTGCGCTGCCCGCGAAGGGCGGACAGGGTGCTAGGCCGAGGGGAAAGGCGAGGGGGGCAGCGGCCCGGGGAGGGTGGCGCGGCGCGCCGGACACCGGCACTCACGTGTCGGCGGCATTGGTCTGCCCTCGGTACTTGGGGCGCGGGAGCAGGGCGCGGGGCTGGCTGCTGAAGCTGTAGGGCACGTCCAGCTCGGGCGCTCGGATGGGCACCATGGTGGCTCCGTGCGGCGGCTCCGGCTCCGAGCGGGCCGGGCGCGCCCCGAGGGAGCGCTAACGGCGTCTGTCTCCCGGGCAACGCGCGGCGCATGCGCGGAAGGGCGGCCGCGGGCTGCTCGGGGATCAGGGCATGGCTTGGGCTGGGAAGCACCTTAAGGATCATCCATGGGCAGCACTAGACCAGGGTGCTCAAAGCCMCATCCAGCCCGACCTTGAGCACTTTCGGGGGTGGGGAATCCACAGCTTCCCTGGGCAACCTGCTACAATGCCTCACCACCCTCCCAGCAAACAAATTCTTCCTAATATGTAATCTAAATCTACCCCCTTCCAGTTTGAATCCACTGCCCSTTGTCCTGTCACTTCACGCCCTTGTWAAAAGCCTCTCTCCAGCTCTCTTGTCGGCTGCCTTCAGGGGTGCCGCGGTCGGGTCAGCCCGGAGCCTTCCCTTCCCTGTGGGCTGCTGTGGCTGCGGCGGGCGGCGTTTCGCGCCCTTCCCCTCACGGAGCTGTTCCTGTCGGGAATCAAAGCCTCGGGACGTGCCGGCCCGCCAGGCCCTGGGAACCATCTCGGTGACCCGCCGCCGGTTCGGGCTGAGCAGCGCTGTGGGGCCCGTCCTGGCCGAGGCAATGAGGGCGTSGGACCGCGAGGTGTCACCGTCCTCCTGTCGCTCCCTGGACAAACTCCTCAGGAACTCGCAGCTTTCCGGGGAAACGCAAGGTGGCTTAACCCRATCTGCACCGGTACTGGCGTGCAAAGGTTGGCTGCGGAGTCGCGAAATCCTGTTGGATGGCGTGCTGGTGGCTTAAGTACCCGTGTCCTGGAAGTACCGGCTCGAACTCCAAACTTGTGTTTTCCCCATGAGCTGGGGATTTGGATACTTGTAAAGGTGAGGTGAGTCCTCAGTATGCCATCCCATCCGTGGGGATCTGCTCTCCCTGCCGGGGCAAATCATGGGGACATGTTTTCAGATTCTGTGAAAATTTTTCTTTAAGAGAAACATAAAAGCCTTGAAGGATTACTGATATAATGATAGCCCTTTTTTTTTTAACCTACGTGGGTAAGGATATGCCTTGATTATTTTAGCAAGACTTAGCATGTAAAATAGCCCGTGTCCTTTATCTTTGAAACCTTTGGTTTAAATGTAATTCAAGTCTGAAAGTCTATTTATTACAGTTCAGTTATGTTACTGCTGCAGATGTCTGTGCTCCACCACATCCCCAAGTACAGTCCCAGACAAGAAATTGCAAATAGCAGAGAATTCTTCATAAGAGGCCTCAAACAGATGTGGGAAGCTGTGGAGTAAGAGAAACTATTCAAAAACAACTTTTAAAAACCCACCCCAAGCCAAAAAAAAAGAAAAAAAACAACAACCAAACTACCAAAAATCCAAGTGTGGGAGGCAAGGGGGAAAAAAGAATGTTTTTGTAATTCATTAATGCGTAGCTTGAGAGTCAGTAGCAGAGTGGGAATTGTGTTGATTACACAGTTGTGAGCTGGGTGCTGGTACAAGTGGGTATGGGCATGCAGGAGTACAGAGGTGCAAGTGTCACCAGGCTAGAAGGAGAGAGCAGTCCTTCAATACTTGCTTGTGTCTGGGTAAGCAAAGTTAATGAGTAGGTTCTTGGTCCAACCTATTCTGCAGTGGTCAGCCACAGCACTACGGTACTTAAATTTGACCAGACCAAATACAATCCTTTGATTTTGGAGACCTGACTTTTATTTTCTGAAAATCTGGGTTTGGCTATACAGTTGGCTATACTGCTTATAGACTGGGGGCTTTATATCTGGGTAAACCCTTCCAGTATTGTTAGGGATCTGATGTTTCTGTTCGCATGAAAACCAGCTGCASCATAGCCTTAAAAAGTCAGTCTATACACGTCCAGTAAGGAACAGAGTGTGCTTGCTGAATAACCTTAGAAATTTGGCTGGAATGAACTGGATAGGAAGATAATGAGTAGATGGCCTGTGACTGCTGGAGCAAGGATTCATGAGGAGCTGCCTGTTACCCATTGCTCACAAATCTTGTGAAGATGAAGGTGTTGCATCACCTTCATCAGGTTTTGTTTTGTTAAGCTGGGCCCAGCTGGTGTCTCACTTTYTGGGAGAATTTCTTTTACCCAGTAAGTGCACTGGTTCAAAGGCAGCAACTCTTCTTCTACCCTCTGTGAAAAATTGCTAACTCCTGAGTTACCAGTTCAGCACAAAAGCACTGTAAGTATCGTGTGTGAGAGACAAAGATCTCTACAGGTTTATAAGTGACAAAGACATGCCCAGGCAAAATCTTAGTTTTTCTCCCTTGTCCCTTTTTATGTTAGGTTTTTTTTTTTTTAGTTTTTCTCCCTTGTCCCTTTTTATGTTAGTTTTTTTTTTGCTAAAAATACCTGGTGACTTCTGGAACATTTTGTGTCATCAAGACTGGGTGGAGTAGGWTCCAAAACCATATTGATTGTTGCTSTGTTGATCAGATGGCTGCCATTAGTTGCTCTCTGGATCTTACAGTAGCRATGGCTGTTTCACATATTCTTTGGRGGATTTTCTTGKACCTGCACAATAACAGTGCCAGAGGTACTGCCTGGGAAAGGGGCCTGCYTAGCAAGGAATAAATCAGCCCATCTCCCATATGGCAGCTAAGAGAGATCTTTTGAGTGCCTTCAGATGACTTGAAAGCTGCACAACAAGGGCTTTATCTCCTTCCAGGTTTGCTGTGGGTCTGTTAAAAGGACTTAAACATACTTAGTTTTTTGTTTGTTCTCATGAGAATTTCTTGGCATTGCACCATGCCTTATGGCATGCCCTTGGCTTTCTTTTTTTGGATGTGAAAAAAGTTTATTCACAACAAAGCAAATGTGAAGGTGTCAGTGTGTAGTAACAGAAGATGTACACCCACTGTTTCCTGTAGCACTTGGGATGTGTCCTGTAACTAGTGAAGGACACCTTGAAATACAATATAAGGGATCTACAGTGCTGAGCCTGGGTCTTCCTGGGCCCTAGCTTGGATGTTGCTAGATTGGGAGACCTTGTGCCACAATGCATTGCACAATACAGTGATGAGCAGAGTAACTGAGTCCAGTTTCCACCATCTTAACTTTCTGCAGCATTTCATAATCGAGAAAGAAAGGTGTTTTATGGATATAGACAATGCTTAAAATGCTTAATTGTCAAGGAAGGACAGGGAGAGGCATAATGCCTTCCTAGAGCTTTGTCTTCTTTCTGGAGGAGGACCATGGCTGCTTATAAAATCACAGGAATGCTTCCCTGTTGTAACACTGTGTAATTATATGAAATTTGGGTCAGATTTGATTGCCCGTGGTCCTGAGATGGAATTTTAATCTCTGATTCTTACCCCCCTGGGCCTGCAGCTAACAACATGGATCTCTCAGTCTTCAAAGTAACTCTGAGGCCAAAATGCCATTTCTTTCAAATAGAYGGAATCACAACCAAAGAATCACAGAGCAATCTAGACTGAAAAGGCCTCTGGAGGTCTCTAGTGTAACCCTTTTGCCTTAGGCAGGACAAATTCAAAGATAAATCAGATTGGTCCAGGCCTTCTCCTGCCTGCTTTTGAAAATCTCCAGGGATGGAGATGCTTGGAGTTACTTTGAAAATCCCAGAAATCATCATGCTGCTGCTAATCAGTGTCCTGAAATGTCTGATGGAAATACAAAAAGCACAGTACAAACATGGAGAGCCATCAGTGTGACTGCAAAGGTGAAAGAATCACAGAGCCCAGGTGAGGTGTACATTTACTGTTTGTCCTGATGCTGTGAGAGAACAATAGAAGTGCCCCGAAACCATTTTTAACTTGCTGCAGTGATGTAATCAAAGAGAATTAACAATACTGTGTCAGGATTACATCCCTGGTGTCTGCCAGCCCACAGGTGGTGGTGTCTGCTGCTGCTAGTAGACACTGGGCTCAGAGATAAACAGACATTGCCTACATAAAGGCATGGTCTTACTTARCTTTGAAAAATATAATGTGCCAAATTAAGAGTTTTGACACATGAAAGACATAGAAAGAAAAATAAAAATCAGAGCTAAACTTGAGTTCTACTGGTGAAATAAATATATTTTTAACAAGGGTTGTTAATAATGATATGTAAACATGAATAGAAAAAAAAATGCAGATCCTATCACTCATATCTTCAGCCCAAATTATTAAACTTCCTWTTCTCTGTAGCAGCACAGCTTCCTCCTGACTCCTTTTCTGAGTTTGTGTGGTTGGGCAGGACTGGAAAGTTTCAGTTCTCAAGACCTTTTCATTTCTCCAACACTACTGAAAAAACAGGATTTATTAACTATGGTTTCCAGCCAAAGTTTGCAGTGTTGTTTCCCCCTACCACCTCTGACTTCCAGCACCATTTTTCCTAGGTTCCCTTCCCTCCATGTTTCCCACAAGCTTTGTTCTTCAGTGGTACAAGCCTGCAGTTGGGGCTTGCATTCTTGCTTTATGCCACCATGTGCTTTCAGAGAMAGTGACTAGAAAGAATTATGGAGAGGTGACAAAGCACCTTAGAGAGTGGAGCAGTGCAGACTTAATTTTCAGCTGTAGTTCATTACACTGACAAATGGAAAATCCATTGTAGGTGACCTTCCTATTTAAGTTCAAATAGACTATGTGTTGCTAACCTGCTCCAGCCCCCTCTTACCTCTCCCTGCCTTGARCAGGGCTCTCCCACTCCATCTTTTTGCCCCAAGAAGCTCTGCCTTATTTTCCATCTCCCTGTATTGAGGGCAGTTATTCAGCTGCACTAAACTTGCAGAACAAGAAACAAGACTTATCTGCTTCTGTTTCTCCTTCCCTGTAGTCTTGGTGCTCATCCATCTAGGTGTAAATCACCCCTTATCACAGRGAGGCAGAGCAGTATTACCTGTGCTTTATTGGAGATAAACTGCAGAGTCCAAAACTGCACTGGRCAGACCTTTTGGAAAAAGCAGGTCTGGATGGTTAATGACATAATTGCAAGTCTCTGGTCTTGATTTCAAGATCATCCTCCCTTATGACCTATGGAGAACTAGTGGCTGCTCTGCTCTTTCTCACACCCAAGG